TTTTTCCTTCATAATTCAAAACCGTATTTCTGCATTAATTAATATGAAAATGATACATATATTAATAACGGAACCGGAATAACGGAATTCGTTTAACCATGTTAAATGTACAGTGAAAATTTCAGGAGTTCGTGGCTAAGCAATTTTTGCACCGACAGGAATCGAGTTTGCTTGAAAAACTAGAATAAATTTCAACCTACGTACCGGTAGCTGTGGTAAAAGTGCATTCGTTAAATTTCATTCAACGCTTATGGGTACAGACATAAGTAGGTACGTACGTATAATTTCTGTAGCGTGACCTCAATTTACATCACTACTTTTACATAATAATTTCACCTTAGGAAATCGAATCTGAACAACTTTGTAAACTTTATTTTTTATCGAATCGGTCCTATTTAGTGAAACTATTATAAAATGAGGTGTCATGTCTATCGCGATATTTGTAAAACGTGCTATTACTTAATTATTATGCTTAATCCTACGAGATGTCGTGGAGATTTCTGTATGACCTGAGACTTCCAACAGTTAAAACGCGGGCAATTCAGGGCCGCGTTCGAAAATGCGAGGTATAGGGAAAGGTGCAGGTAAAAGCAGAGTAAGACTCAGCGGGCCCGGTAATCTCTTCAGAACGAGCGTGGTCAAGGGTACGGGTCAGATCCCCTGCTGACGCAGATAGCTATGACTTCTTTACATTTCCATAACTTCTCGTGGAGAACACGGAACAATTTCATCCATAAGCAACCACTCCTCCTCTCGACTTAATACTTTCATTAGCTTTAATTGATATGGACACCATGCATTAAATGTTCGTTCATTAAAAAGTATATGACTCCACTTAAGGAATCGAAGTTGACCTTGAGTCAAATTTCCTGTTTGTCGTAATATTTGTTCCTTCAAACAGAACAATGTTCTCCTTCTGCAATTTTTCATATTATGATTATTAAAAATAATGGAAATATTTGAGGTAATCATGTCATTCTGTTCACTAAATTCATGTTTAAAAATTCTAAACTAGTTATAGAGATCCTAGACATGTGGGATCAATGCGATTCCACATGGCAATTGATTTGCCAGATTCGCGAGAAAATCCGGGCCCGTTTAAGGCAGTGGTTCCCAAAGTGCGGCCCGCGATGTCAAATCAGCCGCGATCTTGAATTTATAGAGATTTTTTATATTTTAATCCACAAAATGTTTCCTAAGATATGCAATTTGAACTGATCAAATTACAGGAAAATGTCGGAGCCAAGAACTCTTATCGATTTTTATAAAAGAGAGGTGATTTTTATAAAGCATTATCTTCAAATAATTATCGACGAACACTTTTTTCTTGGCCCGCTAAATATTTTAGAACTCACAATTTGGCCTGCGTAGGCAAAATTTTGGGAACCCCTGATTTAAGGGATATAAGGTGCTGTAACGAGCCAGGGCGAGCCCGTACAGGGAGCACCGCGAGTACGGCGTGTCATACGGGAATCGAGTAGATAGTGAAAGTCCGTGCTAACAGGGCCAGAGAGTAGAGGGCAAGAAGGGGGGTACGACGGGGGTCTCGGGTAAGGTATATGAGGGCCTCGATCCGAACAAACGCTGGTACTCTAGCCTCGCTGCCTACGTATATCCTACATACATACTACATACACACTAACACGACAACCACCTGGGTCACACAATGAACACCGTCGCGACGGTATGTACATACTCATTACTTTTTTTTCTCTTATTCGTATTCAACTTGAAAAGTCCGCTCGCAAATCATCAAACGTCGTTGTGCTCGTTAACGATCGTCGATATGATCGATGATTTCAGGACCGAAAAATGGGTCTCGCGTGTGATGTGATCATTTTTCATTGTGAAGCTTGTGTTTGTGATATTCTTTGTGAAGCTGTTAAAATGCCTTGACTCGACACAGCGTTCGAAATAGTGCTGTGAAGGATCTTGATAGATTCCTTAAAAAAATGCAATAAAACAAATACAATAAAATTTTACGTTTATAAACGTATTTCATCGAGAATTAAGTATATCTGTTTTAGTCCTATCTTAAATGAGTTCTTGTGTTTTTTATTTTTATTTAA